CTTTGTCTTCAGCAATTGTGTCGGGAAGGTGAGCATCATAGAATGCCAATGTAATAAAATAAAAGTATTCTTGCATTGAGGGAGTACTTGAGTGGAGGCCCAATGTCCATCTGCTACCTTAATACTAAACCTATAAATATATGCACCTAGATCTATTTCCCCTTCCTCATATATAAATATATTTACATATGTACATGCCTTTATTTAGACCTCTATAAATGCCCTCTGCTTCTTGGCTCTTTCCTCTATTTCCTTTGACTTTCCTCTTGTCCCACCATCATGCTGTCTTCATTTGGGTTTCTCCACTGGGGCTCTTTAGGATCCCTAATCATTGTACAGAGTGTAAACACATCACTAGACCAAAACTTTTAGAACTGCTAGGTTAGAGAAATAAAATATAAAATACTTTTATTTTCTGATATAATTATTTTCACTGTTAAAATGAGGCCTCATCTTTGAACAAACCTCTTCTATCACTTTGAAGCATGCCTTCCCGGTGTCCGTGGGATTTGAAGGTTGAGTGGAAGGTCTCCAATTGCTTCTGAATGTTAACTGTGGCGATTTTAACAATGTCTGCTGCTGATCCTTGGACTGTTGTGTTGATAGCCTGGCGCTCTGCCTGTGAAAAACAATTCATGAGAGACACCAGTGAGGTACCACACTTGCTCCTATGGTCCCCAGAGCAGAGGTTACATCTGTGGTCAGAACACAGATCTGGACTGAAATGTACCTTACGACTTCCAAGATTAGGTTGCATCCTAATAATAAAAACCATAATAGATGAGATGCTACACACACGTGGGTCATCTAGGTATAAGAAGGTCAAATTACTCCAGTTTAGAAATCTTTAATGCTCAGGCAGGAGCCAAAAACTACAATGCACTTAGAATGTCTTTAGAAGCTTGAAATTATGCTATCAGCATCTAAAACAGGTCGTAGATGTTTTAATAATAAAGAGCCATTCCTCAAAATATGAGGGGGGGGGGGTTGTTACAAAAAAAAAAACCTAGAAAATTTCAAAGCTATGTTTATTTAAAATTTGTTTTACAAAACAATCATCACCTTCAAAGGACTCTCCATTACACTTAATACATTTGTCAAATCAGAAATTCCATTCTTGGAAACATTTTTCAAACTCATCTGCTTGGATGGCTGACAGTACCTCCCTTGGTTTTTTTCCTTCCCCTCTTCTACATCATCAAATCACTGCCTTTCATATTCCTCTGCATTCACAGAAACAAATAGAAGCTTCACAGGGCAAATTCAGGTGAGTAAGGTGTGTGGGGCAAAAGAGGCATGCTGGTTTTTGCCAAAAACTGACACACTGACATGGTTGTGTGAGCAGGTGCACTATTGTGGGGCAAAACCAGTCCCTCGTCGCCCACATTATCAAGTCTTTTTATCGCACACTCTATGCAATCGTTTCAGAACCTCTAAATAGAAAGCTTGGTTAATAGCCTGACCTGGAGGAACAATCTCCAAATGCACTACAAGCTGATATTTTCATCCATTTGTGAGGTTGACAGCCAGCCAGAATGAGGTTTGTCATCAATCGGCATTTCACATTTTTTGAAACGAGAAAGCCACTTGTACATTTGAATTTTTCCCATAGCTCTGTCCTTGTAAACTCTGTTCAACATCACAACAGTTTCAGCAGCATTTTTCCCGAGCAGGAAACAAAATTTCACAGTCACACACAGTTCTCTTAAAATAGGCCATCACAAAAAACGAAGACTGCTTTTACAAAAAAATGCACTGTGACCAGAGAGAACCTTCCCAGGTGACGCCACTGGGTGCACTAACTCAGAGTGAGTTGCTCGATGCTCACCTAGTGTAAAAAATGCACAGTGTGAAAGCTCCACTCTGCCCAGCACAATTCCAGTTTTTTGGAGGTACCCACTTCGTGTGACTACTATTACCGTATATACTCGAGTACAAGCCGAGTTTTTCAGCACATTTTTAATGCAGCTTTTGTGGTAAAATTAGGTGCCTCGGCTGATATTTGGGTCGGCTTACACTCGAGTATCTACAGTAATCCTAATAAGATAAAAGTGAAATATCATGTTTTGTAATAGGAACTGGAATGTTCCAAGCACCACCCTGAAACCCACGGTCTCTTGCTACTGCATAGAATTTGGCTGCAGTGTACTTGGAGCGCTCTATTACACCTCAGAGCTTTTCCTCAGCTGATGGGGCTCATCGTCAACTGGTAGTTAAAATCTTGATCTTGGACCCCTGAGTATTAAATGAGAACATTCTTGTGTATATACTCAACATCAACAAAATAAGTAAAAGGGGGGGTAGTTTAATTAAATAAACAAACCCATGTTTACATTATGGTTAGGTGTCATCAAGTTGGTTCCGATCCACAGGGACTCTATGCACAACAGAAGAAACGCTGCAGAGTCCCGTGCCAGCCTCACAATTGTTCCTTGCCTGAGCCCACTGTTGCAGCCAATGGGTCAATCCATCTCGAGGACCTGCCTCTCTTTTGCTGGCCCTCTACTTTACCAAGCATGATGTCCTTCCCCAGAGACTGGTCTCTCCTGACAATACATCCAAAGTGTGTAAGATGGCATCTTGCCATCCTTGACTCTAAAGAGCGCTCTGGCTATACCTCTTCCAAAACAGATTTGTGTGTCCTTAGGCAGTCCATAGTCCTTTCAACATTCTTCTCTAGCACCACAATCGAAATGCATCAATTATTACTTCTTATTCAATGTCCAACTTTCACATGCATATGATGCAATGGAAAACACCATGACTTGGATCAGGCACACCTATCCTCAAGGTAACATCCTTGCTTTTCAATACTCTAAAGGGCGCTTGTGCAGCAGATTTACCTAATGCAACTGGTCTTTTGATCCCTTGACAGCTGCTTCCACGAGCATTGATTGTGGATCCAAGCAAGACAAAATCCTTGACAACTTCAACCTCCTCTCCATTTATCATGATGTTACCTATTGGTTTGGTGGGGTGGGATCTGGTCTTCTTCACATTGAGTTGTAATTCATACCCAAGAGTGCAATCTTTGATCTCCATCAGCAAGTGCTTTAAGTCTTCCTCATTTTCAGCGAGCAAGGTCGCTTCATTTGCATATCATAGGTTGTTAATAAGCCTTGCTCCAAATGCCACTCTTGTCTTCATCTAATCCACCTTTTTTGGATGATTTGCTCAGCATACAGATTGGCCATGTATGATGGAAGGGTATAACCCTTTCCTAACTTTAAACCATGCAGTATGCCCTTGTCCTGTTCTCACAACTGTTTCTTGATCCATATACAAGTTCTGCAGGAGCACAATGAAGTGTTCTAGAATTCCTATTCTTCTCAAAGTTATCCATAGTTTGTTATGATCCACAAAATAGAATGCCTTGGCATAGTCAATGAAACATAAGTCATATTTTTGGTATACTCTGCTTACAGCTAAGATCCATCTGACATCAGCAATGATATCCCTTGTTCCACTTCCTTTCCTGAATCCAGCTTGACCCTCTAGCAGCTCTCTGTTAATGTACTGCTACAGTCGTTGTTGGATTATCTTAAGCAAAATTTTACTTGCATATGATCTCAGTGATATTCTTCTATTGGTTTAGCATTTCTTTGGAATGGGCACAAATATGCATCTCTGCCAGTCAGTTGGCCAAGTAGCTGTTATCCAGATTTTCTGGCAGAGATGAGTAAGTGCTTCCAGTGCTTCATCACCTTGTTAAAACATTTCCATTGGAATATCATCAATTCATGGATCCTTGTTTTTGTGAATGCTTCAGTTCAGCATGAAGTTTTTTTCTTGAGCACCACTGGTTTTTGCTCATGTGCTACCTCATGAAATGTGGAATGTCGACTAGTTTTATTTGGTAAAGTGAGTCTATGTGTTCTTCCCATCTTCTTTTGATGCTTCCTGCATCATTCAATAGCTTGCACATAGAATCTCTCAAGGTTGCAATTCAAGGCTTGGTTTTTTAAGTGAGTTCACTCCATTTCAGATCTGTTGAGTGTGTGCTCCTCTTTTGGTTTTCTAATTCTAGTTCTTTGTGTATTTCCTTATAATATTTGGCTTTTTCTTCTCAAATTGCCCTTTGAAATTTTCTATTCAGTTCTTTGACTTTATCCATTTTTCCCATTTGCTTTAGCTACTCTACAATGAAGAACAAGTTTCAAAGTCCCTTGTGACATCCACTATACATTAATCTCCCCAGAGCTGTGCTCTGCAACACTGCATGTGTCATCACTGGTTGGCCAGGTACAAACAGAAGATCCAATTCATAAACTAATGGTCCCCGAAAGGGCCATTCACTGGGCGTGATTTTCCTGCAAAAGGACATGCCACTAAAATGTTCAGTTAAAAATCCAGAGAAATTTCAACATACATGAGCTTTATGGTAGGGATTGTTATCGTTGATTCCTGGCAAATATCTATGCCTTCCCAAAATGGTCCGGACAAACCCATCTCTTCTACAATCCTTCACTGTCTCTTTCATGAAATTATTAATCCCTATAAAGAAAATACAGACACATTTAATTACAACAAAGTCCACCCTTAATCTGATTCATATGTTCAATGTAGTTCAATATACCAAAACCCCATCATTATTACTTTAATATAACACCCACCCTCATGATACTCACAAAACGTTGTTCATTTTTTTGGTTGACTCAGAAAGTCAATTACAAAAAGGAATTTAGAAATGACAAACTAGAACCCTATCTTTAAAAATAAATTTTATAAAAGGAAAGCAAAAAACAATGAAACAACATTACAAAGTAGGTACTAAAACAGTTTTGTTTTGATTCCAGGATCTTAGGGTCATTTCAAACTATTTTTCATTGGTTTATTTTCTTTGGTTGTATTAATCCTCAGTTATCCTCTGATTTTATCATTCCTCGGTTTAAAGCATTCCAATGTTTCCTTATTATCACCTATGTTATGATCTAAACAGGATCACCATGAAACTAATGTGTGAGGTATAACATACTGACCTCACTTCTTAAAATTAAAAAAGACAATGTGCATTATTCAAGCACATTCATATTCCTTAGGCTAGTATTCATCTTTCTTTTTTTTCAATCCAGGTTCATTGTTATGTCTTATGGATCTCCATGAGGAATCCACTGCTGAGGTGGGCCAGTCTCTCCACTGTCATTCCTATCTCCGAGCTCAAGCAATCCAGGTGTCCTGGAAACAGTCGTTATAGTTTATACTCTAGAACACAATCAGCTGCGGTATCTGTGTTGATCCACCTTCATTCATATATGTTCACTGCTTTCTCACACTCACAAACACTTATGTCTGCCAGTTGGGGCCCCTCACTTAATAAGGCAGTCTGTTGGGTGCGTGGCTAGCA